TCGTATGGGCTGGTATTACTGGTAATTTTTTGGCTTCTTCTTATAAATGGGTCAACTGCAACTTGCAGTTTGTTTTCAGTTTTTAGTTTTGCGTGCGTAAAACACCAAACCTCTTGACTAGAGAGGGGAGTTGATGATTGTTCGCTAAAAAAAAACTTGGTAACTAAAGATGAGCAACCTGTTTTTTTTTGTTTGCAAAGTATCATTTTAATTCCATCTTTTTATAGAGAAAAAAAAAAAAACCAAAATAATTCAAGGCAATAAAAAAACTATTTAGGTTTTAAACCACAAAATAACTTTGGCTTAAAGCTGGTCATCATTTTGCAACATGAAATTTCTGTGGTAACTTTAGTTTACTCACAATATTACACAATATTCAACTTAATCATTTTTATATTGCTCCTATCTCTCTCTCTCTTGTCATATAAAATATTTATAAATATTTGTTGTCTGAAACATCAACTGTTTTTTTTTTTTTTTTAGTTGATATGAACGCATATTTTGTTTAATACTTTTTACATGCTTGAAATTTCATTCATTCATGCTCATCTACTGTCTGTAGTCTACACAGCAGCATCATCATCATCATCATCTATAATTTATGGATTTACCATAAAAATTTATCAATATATTGTAGTTGTTAACAAAAATAAAATGTTAAGAGTGTGCTGTGTATAAAAGTATGATGTAATTTATTTGAATTAATGGCCACAGCTGCGTCACTGCCCAAATCTTTGAATTTGATGTTGATGATCTTATGCTGATCATAACAAATAAGTTACAATGGTTTGAATGGATGAACGACAAAACAATGGAATTTTAAAAAGTTTCTTGTAATTGTGAGTTTGATTGGTGACATTTGTAAGTTTGTTATTTGTTAAATATAATAAAAGGTTTGTATGGGTTGTAGAGATCTTCTAACTCTTTGAATACAAATTGAAACTAATCTATAGGTTAACATGATCAGTATGATGTATAACTTTCAATTTCTAATATTTTGGCAAAAGTTTAATTGATCTCTTGTCAAAATAGTGATCTTTTCACAAAGAAGTAATCTGCTAATAATATAGTAATATTTTGTTTAAAAAACGATCTTTTATCAAAACAGTGATCATTAGATTAACAAGAGATCTTTCAACCAAAGGGTGAAATCACTCTCAAAAGAGTGATCTTTTATTAAAAAGAGAATTTCTCCGCTAAAATAGTGATCTTCTAGATTACCAACTCTTTCAATTTAATTTGAAAATAATATAAAAACTTACATACAAACAGGATCAATAAGATCTAAGATCTCTCAATTTCTAATATTTTGGCAAAAGTTTAATTTATCTCTTCTGACAAAGAAGTAATCTGCCGATAATAGAGTAAACTTTTGTTTAAAAAGCGATCTTTTATTAAAAATGTGATCATTGCTTTAGGTGGGGTCTTTCACCCAAAGGGTGATATCACTCACAACAGAGTGATATTTTGTTAAAAGAGAATCCTTTGCTTAAAGAGTGATCTTCTAGATTACCGAATCTTTCAATTTAATTTGAAAATAATATAAAAACTTGCATGCAAACAGGATCAATTTCTAAAAATTTGGAAAAAGTTTGATTAATCTCTTGTCAAAAAAGTGACCTTTTGACAAAGAAATAATCTTTTGTTTAAAAAGCGATCTTTTATCAAAAGAGTAATCATTTGTTTAACGAGAAGTCTTTTACCAAAAGGGTGATATCATTCTCAAAAGAATGATATTTTGTTAAAAGAGAATTGTCTTGCTAAAAGAGAGAGGGATCTTTTGCCTTTTGTAAAAAGAGGTTTGTCTGATTTTCTAGATTATGAAATTACTCTCAAAAGAGTGATCTTTTGTTAAAAGAGAATTCTTTCGCTAAAAGAGTGATCTTCTGTTTTGAAAGAGGTTTGTCTGATTTTCTAGATTACCAACACTTTGAATTGAAACTAATATAAAAACTTGCATGTCAAACAGCATCATAGATCTTATTGATCTTTTTATTTTTATTATTTTGCCAAAAGTTTGATAGATATCTCTTGTCAAAAAAAAAAAAAAAAGATCTTTTAGCAAAGAAGTGATCTTTTGCCTAAAGAGTGATTTATTATTAAAATGTGATCATTTGCTGAAAGTTTGTTTGTTGCCAAAAGAGTGATCTTTTGCTAAAAGAGAGATATTTTTAAAAAAAGATTTGTATGAGTTTTATTGATCTTTTAACGTTTGGCAATGAAGTGGTCTGCGAATGATATGGTAATCTTTTGTCTAAAGAACGATTTTTTTTTTATCGAAAGAGTGATCATTTGTTAAACGAGGATGTTCATTTGTTTCAAAGACCGAACTCTTTGAATTCAAATTGAAATTAATTTAAACGCCTGAATGACAAATAGGATCAATAGGATCTACACATACTTATAGTGAAAATGTGATTTTTTGGAAAAGAAGTGATCTTTCAATAATTTTGTTTAAAGATCGTTTTTTAATTGAAAGATTTTTTTCAAAAGAGACATAAAATAGAGATCTCTTGCCAACAGGGCGTTGTTTGTCAAAAAGTTTTCAGATTCCAAAAGATCATTTGTTAAAAGGGAGATTTTTTACTAAAAGAGAGAGAGATTGATCTTTTTCTAACAAAATTTTCATTTTATCGAAAATGTTCAATAGAAAAGAGAATTTTATAGAAAATTTTTTATAGAAAAGAAAATTTTCTCGAACATTTTCTATAGAAAAGAGAATGTTTTCGAATATTTTCTATAAAAGTATAATTTTCTTGAAGATTTTCTCCAAAAAGAGAATTTTCTCGAAAATTTTCTATAAAAAGAGAATTTTCTAAAAAAATTTCTTTAAAAAATATAATTTTCTCGAAAATTTTTTATAAAAAAGTGAATTTTCTTGAAACTTTTCTATTGAAAAGAGAATATTCTCGAACATTTTCTATAGAAAAGAGAATATTCTCGAACATTTTCTATAGAAAAGAGAATATTCTCGAACATTTTCTATAGAAAAGAGAATGTTCTCGAACATTTCCTATAGAAAAGAGAATGTTCTCGAACATTTTCTATAGAAAAGAGAATTTTCTCGAAAATTTTCTATAGAAAAAAGAATGTTCTCGAATATTTTCTATAGAAAAGAGAATGTTCTCGAACATTTTTTACAGAAAAGAGAATGTTTTTGAAAATTTTCTATAGAAAAGAGAATTTCCTCGAAAATTTTCTATATAAAAGAGAATTTTCTCGAAAATTTCTTTTTTTCTATAAAAAAAGTTTTATAAGAAAAAGACATTTATCGAAAATTTTCTATAAAAAAGAGAATTTTATCAAAAATTTTCTATATATTTTTTTTAATTTTTTATAAATTATAGAATTTTTCGAAAATTTTTTGTAAAAAAAGATAATTTTATAAAAAAATTAAAAAAAAAAGAATTTCGATAATTTTGAATGATGGGAAAATTGTGAAATACGAACAAAATTTAAATTTAGCCGGGAAACAGGTCCGCAGTAATGTAAAAGTAATCAAAAATGTGTTTGTAATGAAGGTGTCAAAGGTCATAAACAAAACAAAAGAAGTTTGAAATACATACCAGGAGAAAACTTAAAAGTAAAGCTAGAAATCTAAAAAAGCTAAAAAAGTAGGAAAATTATAAAAAGGTGCTAAAAAAAGAATATTATAAAAAACTATATACAGGAAAAAATATACAAAAAAAAAATCAACTCGGAATTATGGCTGACAGTTAAAATTTTTCTAATTATAACTAAAATCCATAAAGCCAAAACAAGGGGAAATCAATAGCTGTACAAAAATTTAAAAATATTTGTGTTTAAAAAAAGTAAAAAATTGGAATTATAAATAAAAAAGGGTGTGTGTGTATTTTTTGTTTTGTTTATATATTTATATAACAATTTGTTGTTGTTTTTATTATTATTATTATTATTATTATGTAATTAATTATAAGGTAATTTGTGTATAAATTATAAAATTTTTACAACTAAAGGAAAAAATAAAATGAAAAAAGTGTAAGAAGAGGTTAAAAGGTAAAATAATAAAAAAAATTATAATATAAAAAATAATTAATTAAAATAAATTTTTGTGTTTTTTTTTAAGAAAAAAAATATATATATAAAATAAAATATAAATTTTTACACAAAACTGAAGCAAATTTTTTAAATTGTGTTTTAAATATTTTTTTTAAAAAAAAAGTATATAGAATTATGGCAAATTTTTTTAAGAAACAATGGTTGGTTGATTGGTTGATTTTTCTTTAAAATGAACAACAGTTTTCGTGGGTTATATAACTAAATATTGTGGTATATTAACTAGTCGAAAAAAAGCTCTGTTAGATGATCTTGTTTATTTTTTTAATTTCCAAACAAAATTACGAAATAAGCACAACAAGCAAACGCAGCCAATTATTTGTTTGTTTCAAATAATTAAAAAAAATAATAAATATAAAATTATATACAATTTATTTTTATATAGAAAAATGTAGAGAAATTACAAAAAAAAAAATTATATAAATTTCTTTACAAGTAAGACTAGAGAATGAAGAAAAAAAAATATACATAAATAAGTTTATTGTCAAAAAACAAAAGCTTAAAAGCTTTATAGAAAAAATTGGCATAAGCTTAGAAAGTTTACATAAATTCAAAGTTTTGGGGAAAAAAACTTTTTGTGGAAAATTTTTTAGCAAAAGCTTTAAAAGCTTTTTCCTATAAAACCAAATAAATTAATAAAATTTATATAAACTTTAACTATTTAAAGATGTTGAACAAGTTTAAATTTAGAAAAAAAGCTTTTTTTGAAATACATAAAGCTTTTAAGCTTTATTTTTTTTCTAGATATTTGTTAAATAAAAACAAAAACAAAAAAAAATTTATCTTATGTACTATGACAAAAAGCAGCAGTTTATTTTTTATTACTGTTTATTTAAAATTATCGTTTTTACAGAGCTTTTTTGCTTTAGCTTTTTCTTTTTTTGAATAAAACCTTAAACCCTATTAGCTAATTTACTACTTTAACTTTCACTGACTAATTCTGTGGCGGCTGGTGCCAACGTTGTAAAAGTTGCAGTTTGCTTATTCTTAAATTTTCTCGATTTTGATTTACGCGGTTGCTTACGACGCACCACGGTTGTTTCCGAACTAAAACTAACTGTTTCACTAATTTTACTACCAATAGTGCTACTGGTTGTACTACCAACACTACCCTCATTTATAGTATAAAGCTCAGTTTGTGTTACTTCCTCTACCTGGTCCAAAGGACTTTTAGAGGTTTCTGTTTTAGTTTGAACATGTTTTTCATTTTGTGTTAGGGAATTTAGTAGAGGAGCTTTTATAATGGAAGCTAAACGACTGGAGAAAGCCGCATTGGAATCATGTATTTCAGGGTTTTGTTGTGTTTGCGTTTCACTATTAGCATTAAGGATTTGTTGGGTATTGGTAACGGGATTTACGGCTATGGTTTCTGTTTCGGTTTGGGTATGTGGTATAATGTTGTTTTCTATTTGTGGTTGTTCTTGCTGTTGTTGTTGTTGTTGTTCATCTTCTTCCACTTCTACGCCATTAACCATTTTTCTCACTTTACTGAGTATAACTTTGTCTAGATTAGCTATGGATATAACAAGGGGTGAGGATTCATTGGATTCAGGACGTAATAAGGGTACTATAGGTCTTACATATTGTGGAAATAGAGCAGCAGCTACTGTGGTAGCTTTTGTTTCCTCCGCGGGGGCTACAGTCGATGACTCTGTTTGAAGAATCTCGGGTGCCGGTGTAGTAGTAAGAACAGCTGCCGTAGAATACTCCACATTTTCAAAGAGTTTTTCTATAGGTGTCGAAGAGGAAGAGCTGGAAGTTGTTGAGTTTGAAGAACTTGCTGCAGTATCAGTTTCACTTTCTTTGCTATTGGGTTCTAAATTGATGCGAGCTACATCAAAGGATATGGCTTTGAAAATGTTAAAAGCTTCTGTGCTAGTTTCTGTGTACGGTTTTTCGGTTGTGCTTTCTACCCGATAACTATTAGAGCTTTCTGTTGAAGATATTAAATCATCAACACTGGCACTATCACTGCTGGCATCCTGTTTAACAAAAGCCACATCTTCTACGGTATTCAAAACCTTACCTTTACGAGCACTTTCGAAAAGACCTTCCAACGAAATGGTGGATGTTTCAATGGCTTCCCGTATTACTTCGGGCACCAAAGCTTTACCGGACCGCTCTTCAATACTACCTTCAGGCAAGGTGTAACGTACTGGTTGCGAAGCCCAAGGTACAGTAGGTTCGGTGGGTGTATAATCGGTTACCGTGCTGCGTCCCTCAATTGTTATATCACTACCATCCACCTGATGCACATATTTAACCACACTAATTTCGCCCAACTGTTCGACATGGGGCAAAGATTCCACCTTGTACGTTTGGGAACCCTCAACGGCTACAATGGTATTGGCCTTGGACTTGCGTCTCAATTTCTCTTCCTTAGAGTTAACCTCAACAATGCGATTGATTTCCACTACCTTATGTTTCGGTTTAACTCTTTCGACTATGAGACGTGGCACCATTTGGTAGCCTTCATTCAAAGGATTTGGCGTGGTATGTTCAGCATCGGATAAGGTAAAGATATGCAATAAGGTGGTACTAGGTGGTGGTGTGGTTGTAAAGCCATCCTGTGAAGAAATTTCATTAAGATTGTTAAGATTGTTACTTAGATTTGCTTCGTCAGTGTTTTGAGTGCCAATAAAGGTGTTACTATCCAGTGTGGTGGTTTGTTCTTGTTCTTGTGTATTGGTGTTTGAAGTGATAGTGGTGGCATATTCATTAACAGATAACTGATAATTTTCTTCATTATCATTATCATTATCATCATCTTCATTTTCATATTCTGTGTTTGTTTGCTGTTGTGTGTTCTCATTTAGTTTGGCCACTGGTATGTTTAACTTTGGTTTAAGAGTTGTGTGTTTTTTACTATTAATATCGAATATTTTCTTATTACGGGCATTTAAAGCCTCAATATTCAGATCTTCTATAAGTGGATTACTGTCATTGCTGAAGTCAACGGTAGCTTCAGTTGTAGGTCCGGTGTATTTGCGTTCGTATGCTCTTGTGTTAGGATTAATAAACGGCGCTGGTTTAGTAGGTATTAGTACAGTAGTACGTTCAAAATCGTTAGCCACAGGTTTAATAGTTAGATTTGGCACTGAAACGCCCAAAGGACGATTAACCACGCGTGGTTTTACCGTCGATCTAGAGGAAACACCAAAACGATTTGCTTTATTGCCGGGTGTGGTGGTAGTGGTAATTGCTCCCGGTCTATAGGGGGTATTAGCTACACGTGAGGGTGTGAAGGGTTTCTTGATGGTGGGTGTTGTAGTTAGAGCCGGTCTGGCTCCAGGAGGTATGCGATTGTCTTTGGGTTTGTAAGTGGGACGATTGGCAATGGTTTTGTCAGCATCTTGTGTGCTTTCTTCTTCATCCTCTTCTTCGTCCTCCTCCTCTTCTTCATCCTCATCTTCTTCCTCCTGTTCCTCTTCCTGTTCATTATCGCCGGAACCTTGTTCTTTAGACAAATTGGAGGGTTTTTTCAAAATAGTTGTTTGTGCTCTATTAAACAAGCCAGGTGGTCTAGCAATGATGGGTTTAACAGTTTGTAGCGGTTTAGCCACAACATTTACTTTAATCTTTTCAACTTCCTCCTCTTCTTCTTCTTCACCTTCACCACCTTCCTCTTCTTCATCATATTCCTCATAATCTTCACCGCTTTGTCCTCCAGCAGAACCCTCTATCTTAAACCGCTCAGTTCCTGGTAATATATTACCTCTGGGATCTTTTCTTACAAAACCTTCACCGGTATTACGATTGCTGGCATTGAAGGGATGGTATCTGCCAAACTTGCGTCTTACATATTTACGTTTTCCCTTCGTTGTGGGTATTCTTATGGTGGTGGTACTTAAAGCACTTAGTGGTGGCTTGGTGGGCACGTAAGGTCTTTTGGCTACTAGTTTACGACGGAAAGTGGGTTTTACACGGGGAGCGGAAGTGGTGGATTCCTCAACTTCTCCTGATTGTGTTTGTTCTGAGGATAGTCCTTCGCTACTGACAGCGGTTAATCTGGTTCTAGGTACATAAGGTTTTCTAGTTGTGAAAGCTTTACTAGATTCCAGCAAATCACCCTCTCCAGAGGATTCTTTTATTTCAGTGGTAGTGTCATTTTCATCAGCTTCTTCTTCTACACTGTTAGAACGTATTAGCGTCGTACTGGTTCTTTCCGACAAAAGTTTCTTTAGTCTAGAACTTACTACGCCCTGTTCCTCTTCTCCTTGGGCAAGTTTGTTTTGCACCTTATCACGTATCTTTTGCAAATTCAAACTTTCTTGGGTAGTGGAATCATTGTCGCCTTCTTCTACCTTATAATTGACCGTTGTAGTATTTTTGGTTTCCAATAGCTTTTTAAGTTTAACACTTACAACTCCCTCCTCTTGATTACCCTTAGCCAAGTCTTGTTTAACCTTGTTGCGCAATTTAAGCAAAGTATCTTCCTTTTCATCAACTTCGGCTTCGGTTTTAGTTGATTTCAAACGATCGCTTAATACACCCTCGACTTGAGTGCCCTTGGCTAAATCTTGTTTAACCTTATTACGCAGTTTCAGTAACGGATTGTCGGTTTCATGTTCCTCTTCTTCGCTGTTGACTTTTGAGGTTTTGAAACGATTACTTAGTACACCTTCGACTTCGCTGGACTTGGTTAAATCTTGTTTAACTTTGTTACGCAGTTTAAGTAAAGGATCATCTTTTTCTGTTTCCTCTTCAGCGCTAGCCACCTTTGTCGTCTTGAAACGATTACTTAAAACTCCCTCTTCTTGGTTACCTTTAGCTAAATCTTGTTTAACTTTATTGCGTAGTTTCAGCAAAGGATCATCAGTTACCTCATCTTCAGTCTCCACTTTCGTGGCCTTAAAACGATTACTCAAAACACCCTCTTCTTGACTACCTTTAGCTAAATCTTGTTTAACTTTATTGCGCAGTTTCAGCAAAGGATCATCAGTTACTTCCTCTTCACTGCCAGTTCTAGTGCTCTTAAAGCGTGTACTTAGTACTCCCTCTTCCTGTTGGGTAACTTGCTCAGTTATGACTTTGTTGCGCAATTTTTGGAAATTTAATACTTTGTTAGCAGTAGTTTCCTTTGAAGTTTGACTTTCTTCTTCTTCCGAATGAGTGGTAGTTTCTAGCACTGAGGTGTTAGTAGTATCGTTATCCTCTTTGATCTCCGTACTACTTTCGGTGGTGGCAGAAGCGTTTGGTTTAGAGTATCTGAAACGATTTGTTGAGGTATAAATGACAGGTTTAGCCGTTGTTATTGGTTGAGTTTCTTCTTCTGAATCCTCATCTTCTTCATCTTCGTCCTCTTCCTCGTCGTCATCATCAACATTATTTTCTGTAGTCTTAGAACCTTCGGTAGTTGTCGATGACTGCAAACGGTTGGCGGTGAATCTATTACGATTGGCAGTACCAAACAAAGAAGTTCTCGTGGTGGTGCTTGTTACACCACTGGGTAGAGTAAATTTATTTATTCCACGATTCTTTAAAATCTCCGACTTCTTGTCTGTCGTTTCTTCATCAACTTCTTCCTCCTCTTCACTGCTTTCTTCCTGTTCTTCACCATCTTTGTTATCATTCTTTCCCAAATTGAATTTCGTATTACGATTGAAGCCATATCTGGTAGTGTTTTGTATTCTCTGCAAGAGAGTAGATGTGGCGACACTAGAACTTTCAATTACTGCTTCCGTAGTACTCTCCGTTGTTCTATTTAGCGGTCTTATTAACTTACGTATTACCTTGCGGAAGCGTTTGGGTGTGGGTTGTGAGGTTTGTGGTGGTGGTATAGCGGTGGTTTGTGTTTCAGTGATTTCGGTTTCAGTTTCTGTTAGTGTTTGAGTTTTAGCTATTTGTGAATCTACTTGATCACTACTAACACTACTAGATTTAACTATATTTTGGGTTTCAGTGTGGCTATTAATTGAATTAGTAGCACTACTAGCATTTGCATTGGCAGACACTACCGGACGTTTTAATTTTATGACTTTAATGCGTCTTTGCAAAGGTGTAGCCGGACGACTAGAAGGACTCTCTGTGGTTGTGGTGATGGGTGCAGTTGTTTCGGGTATATTTGTGCTGGTTTCCCTTTCACTTTCATTATCTTCATTAACATTTACCTGAGCTTTAGCAGCAACTTCTTTAGTGGCTTCTTTAACTTCTTTCTTAACTTCTAGGGGTTTTTCAGTGGTGGTTGTTGTTGTTGTAGTAGTAGTTGTTGTGGTTGTTCTACGTTGGAATTGATATTTCTGAAAACGTCGTTTAGAATCATTATCATCGCCCTTATTAGCATTATTATCATTAAAATCATTATCATTGACATTAGACTTATTACTATTACTATCTTCTGCCCTTTCCTCTTCATCATCTTCTTCTTCATCATCATTATCATCATCAATATCCTCATTATTATCATTATCTAACTTAACATTATCATCATTTTCTTGATTTATATGACTAGGTGCCGTGTTAGTATTCGTTTGACTTAAATTAATTTTAATTCTATTTAAATAATTGGCTACGGTGCTATTGCTACGATTAGTACCAAACCTGTTAGTGTTAGTATTTGCTGTTGTTGTTATGGCCACCTCATTAACATTATCCTCTGTTGTTAGTTCAGAGGATTTAGAGGTTTCTGTGTTAGCAGTAGTAACTGTGGTTTGTGTCTTGGCTCTAGCGTTTAGTAAATTTTTAAGTCTATCGTTCACTAGCCCTTGTTGTTCGTTGTCAGTATCCTGAGTTTGTCCTAATCTAACGCGATTGCGTAATGTTAATAATGAGGAACTAGGTTCCTTAGAGGCAAGTTCTTGACTGGCAAGTTGTTCTTGAGTATTATCTTCTTCATTGTCAGTAAATTCTTCTTGTTCTTCTTCTGAATCCTCTTCATCATCCTCATCTTCTTCTTCATCCCCTACCTCGTTTTGTGGTCTCTTAGGCAAAGGTCGTTTGAATTGAGGTCTATTGAAATTGAAAGGTTTTAAGGTCGCTTTAGTTTCTGTTTGACTTTGGGAATTGGAATTGATGCGCTGTTGTCTGTAACCGCCAAATGGACGACGAGTTGTGGGCCTAATAGCTGTGTTTTCATTTTCGGTTTCTTCTTCTTCGTCTTCTTCATCTTGTTGGTTATTACGATTATACAAATTTCTATTGATATTCAATCTAGATCTTTGTGTAGTTGTTGCTGCTTGGGTTCTAGAGTTTAGATTCAATCTCTGACGTTGGCTAAATGAACCCAAAGTACGTTTCGTGGACACTTCCAAGGGTTCTTCGGTTTCTTCGAGTTCATTTTCGGAGGTTATTTCCGTAGCGCTTGGAGCTTTCGTTGTGGTTTTAAATCGATTGAATTTGGCAAAAGTTCGCTTAGTAGTAGATTCCGTTAAGGCTTCCTCATTTTGCTCTTCTTGATCTGTCTTTAAAGTGGATTCCTCGTTTGTTTGAATCTTATTAAGTCTGGTAAATGTTCTTTTGTTGGCAGCATCATTGGAGCTGGATTCTTCATTTGATTTCTCTGACGTTTGGAAACGATTAAGTCTACCAAAGGTTCTACGTGTTGTAGAATCAATTTGTGTTAATTTGGTAGTTGTTGGCTTTTCCTCATCAAGTTCTGAATTTTCTTCAATGGCAGGAACTTTGGTAGTAGTTCTACCAAATGGAGGTCGTGAACGATTATTAAATAATAATGATTTGCTGGTAGTTGTAGATTCATCCTCAGTTTTTTCGGTAGATGTTGTAATAGCTTCAGTTGTGGTAGATGTTATAGGAACTGATGTGGTCGTACTATCTTCATCGAGTTCGTTAAGAGTCGATATATTGTCTTTAGAACTATTAACGGTCGTTTCTTGATCCATAATAGTTTCCGTTGAGTCTTCTTCCAGAGATTCTGTCTCACTAGTACCCGGTGCTACCGTTGTTGTAGTTGTTGGTAGGCGTATACGTTTACGTATAATTATTCTACGTCTTGGAGTAGAGGATTCTTCAGTTGCCTTAACGGTGGTGCTCTCTAAAGCTTCTACAACGGTGGTAGATTCAGAGGAGTTATTAAGAAGTTCTTCATGTTCAGTTGACTTATCTTTCTCATTCTTAATGATTTCATTACCATTAGATGAAATTTCGGTGGTTGAAATTTCCTTTTCTTCTGCATGTATTTCTTCATCACTTTCGAGTGTACTTTCATCGAGAGAATTCTCAGTTGGGGCTTCCGTTGTGGTTGGTCTATTCAAAATACCGAATGCTTTCCTTGTTGGGAATGTACGTTTCGTGGTAGATTCATTACCATCATCAGTATTACTTTCTGTGGTACTTTCATCATTCGGTTTTTCAGTAGTAGTGGGACGATTTAAACCACCAAATGGTTTTCTAGTAACTAAAGTTAGTTTGGTAGTGACTTTTGGAGTTGCCGATTCTTCTACCGATTCATCTTCTGTTACAGCTTCAGTAGTTGTAACAGTTTTAGAACGATTAAAACCACCAAATGGTCGTCTTGTTGGCAAAGTACGTTTTGTAGTAGTTTCTTCATTTGCCGCATTCTCTTCATTTTCTTCGTCCGATTCTTCTTCAGTTACAGTTTCAGTAGTTGTCACAGTTTTAGATCGATTAAAACCACCAAATGGTCTTCGTGTTGGCAAAGTACGTTTTGTAGTAACTTCAACTTCTTTTTCGCTTTCGACAGTACTATCAAATTCTTCATCAACTGTTTCGCTAGTGGAAGTTCTTAATTTATTAATTCCGAAGGAACGATTTCTTTGTATAGCAAATGGTCTTCTTGTAGGCAAAACACGTTTTGTAGAAACTTCTTCAGTTACCGAACTTTCTTCTTTATGCTCTATAGTGTTATCTGTTTCTACGACTGGAGCTTCAGTAGTTGTTGGCCGTTTAAAAGCACCAAAAGATCTTCTGGTGGGTACAATGCGATTTGAAGAAATTACTTTCTTGGTAGAACTATCTTCATTATTTTCAACTGTACTGTCCGTTTCTTCCACTGAAATTTCAGTTGTTGTGGCAGAGGGACGTTTAAATCCTCCAAATGGTCTTCTGTTAGCCAATGTTTGTTTGGTCGAAACTGTTTCTGTCTCTACTGTGCTTTCAATTTTTTCAGTCGTAGCTTCGGTGGTAAGAGTTCTGGCTCGATTTAGACCACCAAATGGTCTTCTTGTGACCAAAGTGCGTTTTGTGGAAACTACTTCATTTGTCGTGCTCTCCTCATCATTTTCTACTGTACTCTGTGTATCTTGGACTGTAGCTTCGGTAGTTGTTGGTCGAGTAAAACCACCAAATGGTCTTCTCGTAGGTAAAGTACGTTTGGTCGAACTCTCCTCCTTATTCTCTACAGTGCTCCCTGTTTCTTCGACTGTAGCTTCGGTTGTGGTTGGTCTACTAAAACCACTGAGTGGTCGTCTTGTTGGTAGACTATGCACTTCCGTAGAAACTTCTTCATTTGTAGAACTCTCCTCCACATTATTTACCGTGCTATCCGTTTCGTTAAAAACTGTTTCAGTGGTAGTTGTGGGTTCAGTTTGGTCTGATAAATTATGTTCTGTGGAATCTTCTTCAGACATATCCTCAATATTCTTGACCGTACTGGTGCCTTCCTTATCATTAGCTTCAGTACTCTCATGTTCCTTATCTGTTGCTTCTGTAGTGGTGGGATTAATAGAACTAGCTGTGGAATCTTCTTCAGTCGAAGAAACATCTTTATTATTTTCCGTAGTAGTCTCTATTTCTTTGACTGTAGCTTCGGTAGTTTCGGGTGCATCCTCAACTTCATTATTTTCTTCATTCTCTTGCGTACTATGCTCTTGTTCAACTAGAGTTTCCGCAGTAGTTGTTGTTGTCAAATTTTGTTCTGTGGAATTTTCTTCATTTTCAGAAATTTCCTCAATATCCTCCATCTTCACCGTGCTAGGTGTTTCTTCAACTGCAGCTTCAGTAGTTGTTGGTCGACTAAATCCACCAAATGGTTTTCTTGTGGGCAAAGTACGTCTGGTGAAAACTTCTTCATTTTCAGAGTCGTTATCCTCATCATTTTCTACTGTACTCTCGTTTTCTTCAATCGTAGCTTCAGTAGTTGTCGGTCGTGTAAAACCACCAAATGGTTTTCTCGTGGGCAAAATACGTTTTGTGGAATCTTCTTCATTTGCTATTGTACTCTCGGTTTCTTCAGTTGTAGCTTCAGTAGTTGTCGGACGCGTAAAACCACCAAATGGTCTTCTCGAGGGTAAAGTACGTATTGTGGAAACTTCCTGATTTGCGGAGTTGTCATCCTCATCATTTTCTACTGTACTCTCGGATTCTTCAATTGTAGCTTCAGTTGTTCTTGGACGATTTAAACCACCAAATGGTCTTCTAGTTAACAGAGTACGTTTGCTAGAAACTTCGACTTTTGCAGTAGTTTCGCTTTCGTTTTCCGTTGTACTATCAATTTTTTCAGTTGCCGACTCGGTAGTTGTGGTTTTTAAACGCTGAGAACCAAATGAACGTCCAACTTGAGCAAATGGTCGCCTATTCAAAGAAATGCGTTTTGTAGTAATTTCTTCATCTTCGGCCTCATTTTCCAAGGTACTATCATCAACTTCTTTTGTTGCAACTTCGGTTGTGGTAATCGCACTTAATCTGGTTACTCCGCCAAATGTACGTCGGGTGGGAAGAGCTTTAGGTCTTGGTGCTACAGCACCAAAACTACGACGAGTTGAAGTTTCTATTTTCTCTGGAGCTTCATCTTCCTGTTCCTCGTCGTCGACATCATCGCTTTGTGGCGTTGTTGTGCCATAACGTATTAGACGATTGAAAGAACGTTTAGTAGTTGAATCAGAGGTCAAGGGGTTTTCTGTTGTTTTTCTGGTGGGTAAAACTCTTGAGCGATTAGCTAATAATGAATTTTTGCGGGTACTGGCAATATTTGTTTCACTATTTTCTTCAGTAGTACTTTCATCTAAATCATCATCGGTGATTTTAGGAGTGGTTGTTCTGAAGCGGTTTAGACTATTGAGACCTCGTTGTCGGTTGGCTAATAAAACACTTTTACGTGTAGCTGTTTCCGTAGTTGGTACCGCAGAGGAGGTTTCTTCATCTTCCTCCTTTTCCGTATCTTCCTCCTCTAAGCTTTTGGCTATTGTTGTGCGTAAACGCTTGAGTGCCGTAAAAGATCTCCTGGTTGTGGAATCTTCATTGATTTTTTCGTCATTGATTGGTTTGTTTGTCGTTGACTTAATTAAGGGACGATTTATTCTAGTATATGTTTTACTGGTCACTTTTTCCGTTAAAGATTCAGTTTCAATAGCCCCAGTAGTTTCTTCGGAAATTGAGCTTGAAGTTGTGGAAGTTTCAATAGTTGATTCTTCTTCTTTCGCAGGAGCTGCTGTAGTAACACGTATGCGTTGTCTAATTACAACTTTTTTAGGAATTGAGGTAACTGTACTTGTTTCCTCAGTAGTGGATATAGATTCGTCGGATTCCGTAATATCTTCACAGCTAACAATCTCATCTTCCTCTGTCGGGAGTTTTTCGGTGGTGACATCAATTTCAACAACTTTCATGGTAGAAGTTTTTACTTCTTCAGTTCCAAAATCAGCATCTTCCTGATTTTCATCTATATGTTCAGCAGAAACTGAAGTATCTTTCTCATCATCTTCATTAGCAGTTGTGATTTCCGGTTTTAGAGTAGTGAAACGATTTTTGGATAAAAATAAGCTTTTAGTTTTTGAAGTTGTTTCCAACTCCTCTCCATCGCCATCTTCATTATCAGTTGTCGTTTCCGGCTTAAGTGTAGTGGATCTGAATCGATTTATTTTGGAAGGTAAAGCTGTAGTTTTTAATGGTTTTTGATCTAAGATGGTAATTTTCACATGACGAGCATCAGCCACAGTACTTTGCGATAATTCCTCATTATCATTATCGGTTAATTTCGTTGTTAGTTTTGTAAAAGTCTTAAAAGTTTTGCCTTTTCTACCCAGAGCTTCATTCACTTCCAAGGCATTTTTAAGGGATTCTTCATTTAGTTCAGCAGTGTCTTTTAATTGATTTCTTTCTCTAACATCACTTTCATCCATCACCTCTTCGGCCGATGAGACATATGTGGACCCAAGAGTTTTATCCCCCGGGTGACCTAATTTGACCCGGGGGTTTTCAATAAAAAATGACTGAGTTCCTGATTAATCTCTTGTGCCTGTTCCATAGCCTTAATGGCTAAAACCTCATCGGTTAGTTCTGGTTCGGGCTGTACATGATCACTGCTGACATTGAAGACTTCATGTATTTGTTTAGCTATATCGACATTAGTCTCCACCGAAGTTTCGGGAGCTAAAGTAATGGGATTGATGTGTATAATGGGCGAATCTTTGTAGTATTGATAGTATTTGCGTCTGTGGTAAATGGGTAGGGAGAGATCTAGACCCTTTGTTAAGCCTGAAGTTATTTCGTTTTTGGTCTCCAAAGCATCCATTACTTCAGTGTGTGTAACTTTTTCAGTTTTAGTTTTAAAATGTTCCACTGCTTGAGCTAATTGATTCTGTAGCTTGTTCAAAGAATCATGTTCCAGTACACTGCCAGTTGTAGTTTCAACATATTGTTCAGTGGTGGATGAGGGATTGGTTGTTTCGATAGTTGTCGCCTCAGTTGTAATAGGTTCACTAGTGGTGGTACTTAATTCCTCGGCAGCTTTTGCTGTTTTAGTTTTAAAACGGTTTAAACTGACATTGCCCTGTTCACTTTTGCTTATAGAAGTTTTAGTGATTTCCTCAGTAGTAGTTGTTGTCGTAGTTTTGGAGGAGCTAGCTGGTCTTTTAAAAGTAAAAGAGCTCTTGGTTGCAGAATCATCGTCAGAGATTTCTTCAGTGGTAGTTGTTACCGTTTTTACTGAACCTGTGGGTCTTTTGAAAGCAAAGGTACGTTTTCCTGTAGAACCATCTTCCGAAATTTCTTCCGTAGTTGTGGTAGTAGTTGTTACAGTTTTAGCTGAACCTCCAGGTCTTTTGAATGCAAATGATCGCTTAGTTGTAGCATCATCTTCAGCGATTTCTTCAATGGTGGTGGTTACAGTTTTTCCGGAACCTGCGGGTCTTTTAAAAGCAAAAGCACGTCTAGTGGTAGATTCAACTTCCTCCACAGTTTCTTTTTCCGCGGCAGCTCTTGTAGTTGGCCTAGCGGTTGTACTAGTGGGACGTTTAAAAGCAAAGTTGCGTCTGGTAGTTGATACAACTTTTTCTACTTTCTCTACTTCTTCTTCTTTTTCTTCTTCTTCATTGCTTTCTTCGGCGTTCTGTGAAGTTCTGGTTATAGTTCTTAAGGGTTTCGTAGGTCTTGTTCTTCTACTGAAGGTCTGGGCAGATTCAGTAATACTGGCCGGTCTAGTTGGCCTAGTAGGCAACTCTTCCTCAAACTCCTCGACCTGTTCTTCTTCCTTAACAATAACTGGTTTACGTATTAACTTTCTTCGGGATTTTGTAACAGTTCTATCGCCTTCTTTTCTATTCGATTTTGAGGCAAAATCTAAAGCCAACAATGAAGATAAATCATTGCTTTGGAATCTAGCCGAACCTCTATTAAGAGGTATGGGCCTGCGTGTGGTGGTAGTTAGTGGGGTATCATCCGTGTCTTCATATTCAGGGGCCTGTTGGATGATAGTCTTAATCTTTGTTCTCCTAATTGTCTTAATTTTGCCACCAGTATTGATAGTTTCGTAAGTGATGGTTGTTATACGTTTTGAACCATCCTCCAAAATTTCAACTTCTTCTGTTTTATCGTGTCTATTTTGTTGACGTCTATTTAGTGACTCACGTCTACTGCCGATATTAGATCTACGAGAATTTTCTTGACTTTGGGAGGACAGCGAATTGCGGGATTTGAATTTTGAACCCGAGGTTGCAGAAATATTATTGTTTTCGGAGTTTTGATCCTCTTCGCTAACTTCTTCGATGGTTTCGATAGTTTCTGTTTCAGTTTCGGTAAATCTATTTTTGGATTTCGAGTTTTGAGAAGATTGAGTTCCCGTTAGTCGTTTGTTGCTGGCAACAATATTTTTACGGTTAAGGGAATTATATTTATTGGTATTCAGAGTACCAGCAGAGGCTTGTTTGCTGCTCAAATTGAATCTGGATTTTGAGTTTGATTTTGTGGCAGAGTTTTCTTCATTAGCCGCTAATGTTTGACTCTCCGTTTCATTGGAAGTTTCCGAAGATGTTGTTGATTGACTTCCGCTAACGCTGGCATCTAATTTTGAGCCTAAGACTGAGGTGTTTTCCAAACTGCGGGTTGATTCATTTTCATTATGTTCAGATTGCTTTGATACCGTCTCAGCATTGCCCTCTTGACTGGCTGTCAAAAGAGTTGATTTTGAACCTAAAGCATTTCCATTACCAGCGTTTTTGTTCGTTTGTATTCTCTTTCTGATAACAGTTCTTCTGCGTCCATTAACAGTTTCCGTGACAGTGGAAGTTTGTTGATGGGTTGCCGAGTTAATACGAGATTTTCCATCCTCTTCATTATCACTGCCCGATTGAGAAGAACTTTGTACGCCAGAGATTCGTTTGGCACCATTGGCAAATGTAAATTTAGTTTTACCGGTTTGATTGTTAGACAAATCGGAAGCAACCGAAGAAGATGAATCTCCGCTCTCACCCTTAAGAATTGTTTGAGTTAAGAATACATCGGTCAGGGTTTCAGTGTCACCTTTAAGTGCAGATCCTCTACTCTTTAATTCAGAAGTTTCCTCCGTTTCCAAGCCATTAATACCGCCTGTACTGCTGAATACTCTCTTTTTGGTTATAATGGTTTTACTGCCGCCATTATTGATGGTTTCTTCTTCAGTAGTGGTGGAACCAGAAATACGGGAGCTATTCACATTATCTTCTTCAGTTTTATCTGAAGATTCAGCATCTGTACCAGAAGTTTTGCTACTAAATACTCTCTTTCTAGTTAGTAGCGTTTTGCTACCTCCTCCATTTATTGTCTGGGAATTCGTGTTAAATCCTTCAGAGGTAGAACCAGAAATACGTGTTCTAGTCACTGAATCTTCTTCATTTCCATCAGCTGATTCTGAACCTGCGCTCGCAGTTTTGCTGTGGAATATTCTCTTTTTGGTTACGACTGTTCTGCTACCACTATCATTAATTGCTTCTTCAGCTGTGGAACCAGAAATGCGTGTCCTAGTCACAAGATTCTCTTCATTTTCAGCTTCACCTGTTTGAGTTCTTACAACTGGTCGTCTTCTCTTGCCATTACCAAATTGTTGTTGTGAATTATTGCCATATTTCTTAGCCAAATCTAAGGCCAACAAAGAAGATAAATCTCCCTTTTCCTTGGGACGATAAGTGCCTCTTGGCAAACTGGGACGCGTTGTGGAATCCAAATCATCTACTGAAGACTCATCAGCTGTATTTAATAAAGAACCACGATCATACTTGAGTTTTTCTTCGGTCGTTTCGGTAACAGTGTGTTCAATGACTGTGGGTCTCTTTGACACAATACGTCTACGGAAGGAAGTTTGAGTTTGGCTTGAGCCTGCAGATCCCTCGGAAGTTTCTTTATCGTTCGTGTCTTGTTGAGTTTCTTTAGTTTCTTGTGTTGTGGTAGTTGTTTGGCTTGTAACAGATGTGGGTCTCTTTCTATATACCACACGTCTGCGTCCGGTTTGGGTTGTGGTTACTTCTTGATCTTGTTCTTTAGTATTTGTTGCTGTTGCACTTCCGAGAGTAGATTTTTCCACTTTAGTTTCTGTTACTTTGGTAATTGTTTCAGTAGTGCCACGATTCTTAAAGAATGATCTTCTGGTGGTGGGCTCTGGAGTTGTGGTTGTTGTGACAGTTGTTTCAGGAGCTATGAATTCGGTGGTGGTTTCTGAAATTACTTCTTCAGTGGAGCTGGATAATTGTTTTTCAGTAGTTGTCGAAGGCAACTCGGTAGTAGTTGTTGTTGCTTCAGTGGCTTTTTCCGTAGTTGTTGTTGATTCGGCCTCATTTACCGCTGTATGTTCTCCTTCAAATTCCCTATTGTCGGCTTGTGTTTCACTAACAGCGGTAGCGGAAGAAGATCCACGTGTTATTGTCGAGTATTTAAATTTGGATTTCGAATCATCTTCACCTTCATGGAAGCTATCACTTTCATCAGATTTAACTTCTTTATTATCGGCTTCAGATTCACTGACAGCAGTAGCTGAAGTAGATCCACGTGTTATTGTCGAGTATTTAAATTTAGATTTCGAAACATCTTCACCTTCTTGGGAGCTAGTACTTTCGCCGGTTTTAACATTCGTATTATCTGCCTCTGATCCACTTACGCTGGCGGAAGTGGAGCCTCGTGTGATTGTCGAGTACTTAAATTTAGTTTTTGAATCATTTTCATCTTCTTGGGAGCCACGACTTTCGGAAGTTATGGAAACTGTTTTGTCTCCACTAGACGATTCAGATTCTTCATCATTGTGATGGTTCCTTTCTATTTGTGTAAGACTCATAGTTTCCATTTCATTGAGAATACGATGATGTTCATCTTCCGCGTCATCATTACCGCTATGTTCCAATATCTGTCCACCTCTGGAGATGGTAAGATAAGTTCTCTTTGCCGCTTCAGTGACCGCTTCATCTCCAGCATGTTTCACAAATCCTGACAATTCACCTTCGGTAAGATGAACACCTTGGCTATCACGTACGATGGCTTTGTAGGGAATATTTTCAGTGGTGGAAGCTCCGCTACCTCTGGTTCTAGTAATGGTGGTATAGGATTTCTTAGCACCATCCGATTCAGATGAATCATAATCAATACTGGAACCTTGAGAAACGCGATTTCTATTTAGCGATGTATACGTTTTGGTTTTGTCATTGGAATCTTCTGTATCTTCATGGTATTTACCTTCACCTCTGGTAATTTTTGTATATTGGAATGTAGACTTTGTGTGGTTGGCATCATCTGACTCTGAGTTAGTTTCAGCACCATGTTGCCTATTCAGCGAGGTGTATTTATGTTTGCTTGAGACTGTACTATCATCTTCAGATTCTTCACTTCCAGCTTGACCTTGGCCGCGTGATATTTTGGTATATTGGTAGGTAGTCTTGGTCTTAGTCACGCCATCAGTTTCAGCATTATTGGATTCATCTTCAGCACCATGTTGTCTGTTGATGGAGGCATATTTATGTTTGCCTGTAACAGTGCTGTCATCACTTGATTCGGATTTAGATTTCACTGACTCTTCCTCAGATCCGCTAATAGTTTTGGTAGTGGAGCCACGAGTTATTGTCGTGTATTTTACATTAGTTTTGCCAGCATTTTCATCTTCCTCTTCATGTCCAGCTGAATGAGAAGCTTGACCACGCGAAATTTGGTTATAATTGATTCTTGATTTAGTTTGTTTGCCTTCATCGGTTTCATCATTGCTTGTTTCCGTTGAACTAAACGTACTAGAACCACGATTTATTGTTGCGTATTTTGTTTTCACTGCACCTTCACTTTCAATGGAGTTATGTGCGCCAACTTCAGAGTTTGAAGAATCCGCTTCGTGTCCCTCGGATTGAGAACCTTGACCTCGTGTTATTTTGGTATATTTAAATGTGGTTTTAGTTTGACCATCACCAGTTTCGTTTGTTTTATCGTGCTCATTGCTTTCCAAAGATCCACTAGTCGACGATTGAGAACCACGATTCAATGTTGTATATTTGAATTGAGTTTTCAAACCCTCTTCGCCATCTTGGGAACTGTTACTTTCATTTCCTTCAGTTTTCGTAGTTTGACCTCTAGTTATGCCCTTGTACTTAGATTTAGAGCTTTCTTCTCCACTCTCTTCGCCCGACTTAACAACTTGAGTTACTCTGAAACCATTAGCACTTGCGGCATCATCTTCTTCAATTCCCGTTGTCGATTGTTTGGTTTGTTGACGTCTTCTATTAATGCTAGTATAAGTTCTAAATGCTCTACCTTCATCTTCTTCTTCTTCGGCGGCGACGTTGTCGTCAACATGATTTTCTTCTTCACTTTCGACAGAATTTTCTAAACTTTTACCGCGATATTTACCTGTTCCTCTAACAATATCTTCTTGTTTCTTACTATACCTGGAGTCCTTTTCATTCGTTTCAACTACATTAACAATTGTAACATGATCGGGACTAACCTTTTGCCTAACTCTTTCTTCGGTAGTTACCTCGGTAACTACTAATTTTTTCTTTTTCGGTGTGGGTTTAGTAGGACGTCTAGCATCGCGCCAAGAATAAAGTTTTTTGGGGTCTTCATCATCATCGTCCACTTCTTGGACAATGGTGTGAGTTCTTATTTTAGGTGCAGAATCATTATTAATACTATCTACATTAGCTACAGTGTTAACATGCCTTAAACTATCATTATTACCCTCAATACCATTTACTACAACATGCTTATGCAAATGTTCTTCAACTTTAGTGTCTTTAGAATTAAGGTGCTCAGTAGAAGTAGTACTAGTAGTGCTGCTGGTCACTTCACTCTCCTGCTGCTGTACATGCTCTTGTTGTTGAGAGGAAGTTACCGCCGCTTCTTGAGCGGCAGTAGCAGTTTGAGAGAGAATTGTATTTTGAGAACTCACCTTGGTTTGGCTGTTAGCGGCCGCATTTAATTTTGTAGTTTTTTGTTTTGTTACCAAAGTTTCATCATTTGATTTCACTGAGTCTTCGGTGGTGGTTGTCGTAATGCCGGCAGCATTGGTGGGTCTATTGCGTCGTTTGGGGAAACCAAATGGTCTTGGACTAGATACAGTACCCAGGAAGTCATTATTTACAGATTCTGTAGTGGGTGTGCTAGTGGTTGGTATATCTGTAGTGGTAACGCTAGACGTTGTCGTTGCAGACTTCGTCTGTGAAGAACGATTTAGTAAAATTTGTTGTCTTCTAACACCCAATGTTTTCTTGGCATTAGTAGGACTAGGTGTTGTTGTTGTTGTTTCTATAACTGTGGTTGTTGTTGTAGGAGGTGTTGTTGTGGTGGTTGTTCTAGTACGTGTAGTGTACAATGTCTTATTTCTTTGCTTACTTACTACATTTACCTCTTCTTGTTCCTTGTCTTCGGTCTTGGCTACGTTGTCACTATCAGTTGCAATTGTCGTCGAAATAGTCGCTTCCGTGGTAGTCAATTGACTGTCTATATCCTGTTCATTTGTATCTAGACCAGACTCCGTTGTGGGGTTAGGAGTGGAAGAGGATAAGGTGGAAGTGGTGGAGGAATCAGTTAAAAGGGAATTTATTTTTAGGGTTAAATCTAAAGTTTCTGAAATATCAGAACTAATTTCATTGGGATTATTGGTAGTAGTGGCAAGGTTTTCTAAAACATCTTCACCATTTGGCAAAGTCATTGTCGTAGTCTTTGTTGTGGAAGTGGTAGTGGTGGTTGGGTTAGTAGTTGTGGTTATGGGAATATTTGTGGTTATTAATATAGATTCAGGTGTAGTGGTTTCTAATATAGTTAAAGGAGTTGTTGTTAATGGAGTCTCTGTTGTAGATGTTGTTGTAGTTGTTGTTGGTGTTGCTGTAGTTGTTGTTGTTGTTAATCTTGTTTTAGCCGCAGCACTAGTTGTAGTTGTTTCAGTTTCAGGTGTTGCGGTAGTGCTAGTTGTTGTAGTCCTGCGACCTATACTGGCGTAGGTTCTTTGTGTATTTGTTGTTGTGATTTCTTGTTGTTGTTGTGTTTCTCGTGTATTTTCAATATTTACAGCCTTAAAATGTACCGTATTTTCCTGATTCTCCGATTCATTATCGGCATCAATGTCTTCTTCATCAGTGACTCGATTGGAGGACTCGGTTGTGGGACGAGTTGGACGTGTACGCTCCAAGTATTTATATCTAAAGGAAAAAAAGTTTAAATTAAATATTTTTCAGAATAAAGACCGTTTGAAATGCTTGAGAATATATTCCTTCTCAGAATGTGCTTTGAAAGTCGAGAGTTTGGATTGGGTCATTACTATTCTTTACTATTTTCTATAATGAGGTTTCCGGTATCGGTTGAATGGTAATGGATTTCAGTTTCTATCTATTGAAAGTATTCGATCGTCAAACTTTTGCGAATATATCGAACACATCTCTATACTTTGGTATCCATTAAAATGGATCACTCATCGAGCTGTCACAAGGAAGTGCAGAAGTATTCTTCTATGATCAAAATAATCTTTTCGGTCTGCTTGCGGCACAGAAAAGATTCGTTACGATCATCTAACTTTTGAGACTACATTAAACACATCTAAATGTTTTGGAATCTTGATCAAAAATAGGTATTCCGATGCCAGCTAGAGTTGACACAAGGAAGAATCTGCAAGAGGGCTCTTCTATCAAGATGATCTGCGTAAATTGTGGTTCGAGCGACTAAGTTTATTGTTAAACTTATCAAATACTATGGAAATTTAGATTTCACAAGAGTTCTCTTCTATCTTCTCATTTCATCCCTTTCTCTCCATAATCAAGGTGATCTGCCTAAACTGAGACTTGAACGACATGTTCATAAGCTTCATAACAAAAATGTTTCCTTCTCGAAGAATAAAACCTATCCTAATCATATTTTAATAGCTTTTTCACACTCACCTTGACGATCCAGCTGTAACATCAGTTACATCCGGTAATTCCGTTGTGGTGGTACCTCTAACACGGCTTCTATTCAAAGAACTATACGATTTGCGTTCGTTAACTTCTTTCTCCTCCTGTTCCTCTTCATCGGTAGCTTCAGTTGTCACCGTTGGCCTAGTTCTTCTAATTGTCGAATAAGCTGGTGTACTAGCAGCATATGGTTTTCTTGTCGATTTTACACTAACTTCCTCTACAGTCTCATCATCTTCTTCATGACTTTCTGCACTCAGCTTGCTAGAAACCTCCTCATCTTCATCATCATCATCAGCAGAAGTTTTCTTAACACCACGATTACGTTGAATGGTAGTATATTGTTTCTTTTCCTTAAGGAAACCATCAAATTCACTTAATTTCTCAAGACCTTCACTCTGAGGTCCCTGGCGGCTGTTGCCTCTCAATACCGAAGAGTATTTACTAAAACCAGCCGAAGCTCCGGAACTCTTACTGTCCGTGGCGTCTTCATCGTTCTCGCTACTGTCTTGGGTTTTAGTTTGTGTTTTAGTTGTGCGGAAACTACTGGTGGAGGTGAAACGATTGCGGAAGGAATTCAAAGCATTTGGTTTACTTAATACTTTTTCATACAGGGATTTACTAATGGAGGATGGTGTGGTTGCGGTTAGAGAACTACTAGAACTACTGGAACTATGTTCCTTAATCGCTATAGTGCCATCATCTTTGCGTAACAGGTGTTTTTCCAATTCTTCAATACCTCCTACCTTGCGTATGAGTTCTATGAGTTCCTTAATAACTTTAGGATCTTCTTCGGAATCCTTATCAAAACCTTTGGGTTTGGCGAATGGTGAGGGAGCATTATCATCTTCTTCCTCGTATTCAATACTTTCTTCGGGAGCTTCGGTGGTGGTAGTTGTAGTCGTTCTGGGTGTGGTTCTAAAGAAGGTGGTGGGTCGTGAAGTGGCTGCAGTAACGCGATTGTATGAAGAAGTGGGTCTAGCGGTGGTAGTGGTAGCGGGAGAAGTTATAGGGGCAACAGTTGTAGATCTAAAGAAAATAAAGTAAATATAAAGTTTAGAACAGAAAATCTTTGAAATATTTCTCATTCTCCCACTTACTTCTTAGTTTTACATGGCACATTTCGAGCAAAATCACAAGAATCAGCTGCGGGATTGAAATATAAACCAGAGGGACAAGTAAATTGATGAGCCACGATGCCCAAGCCTGAAGGACCACTATCCAAACACCAATAGTATTTTTTACAATCTCTGGGATGTTGGAAGAAACCTTCTTCCTCACATTTAAAATCTATAAAGAAAATTCATCAGAAATCAATGCTTTAGATCAAATGTATCTACAAAAAACTTACCAGTGCCTGGATCTGGTGTTGTGGGTGGTGGTGGTGTGGTAGTTCTACCACCTACATACAAAGAGGAGCCTTCCGCTTCTGTAAGTTTAAAGTTTGTTGGTGCTATAGTGGTGGTAGATTGTTGTCTGTTGCGTGTTGTTTGCTGGGTAGATTGAGTACGTTTGGAACTGCCTTTACGTTCAGCATACGTCAATTTATGTTCGGTGGTTGTAATACGATTACGTGTTGATGAGGAATTTTCACGACTTCTTGAGCGAGAAGGTTTCTGGGGTGCACTTGGTTTTGACACTTCATTAATGCCCAAACTGAAAGGGAAAATTAATTATGTCAATAATATGGACTTGGATCAATCCTAAAATTTAATTTGATATAGAAAATTTTCGAAAACTTCAGTTTTTTAAAGAAAATTTTCGAATATTTTTTCAGAAAATTTTTTTACAGAAAATTCCAACTTTCAGAAATTTACTCTTTTGTAAAAAATTGTTCCAGAAAATTGTCTTTTCTAAAGAAAATTTTCGAGAAAATTCTCTTTTCTTTAGAAAATTTTTGAGAAAATTCTTTTTTCTTTAAAAAAATTTCGAGAAAATTCTCTTTTCTTTAGAAAATTTTCGAGAAAATTATCTTTTCTTTAGAAAATTTTCGAGAAAATTATCTTTTCTTTAGAAAATTTTCGAGAAAATTCTCCTCTCTTTAGAAAATTTTCCAAAAAATTCTCTTTTCTTTAGAAAATTTTCGGGGAAATTTTTCTTTTCTATAGAAAATTTTCGAGAAATTTCTTTTTTCGATAGAAAATTTTCGAGAAAATTCTCTTTTCGATAGAAAATTTTCGAGAAAATTCTCTTTTCTATAGAAAATTTTCGAGAAAATTCTCTTTTCTATAGAAAATTCTCTTTTCTATAGAAAATTTTCGAGAAAATTCTCTTTTCTATAGAAAATTTTCGAGAAAATTCTTTTTCTATAGAAAATTTTCGAGAAAATTCTCTTTTCTATAGAAAATTTTCGAGAAAATTCTCTCTTCTATAGAAAATTTTCGAGAAAATTCTCTCTTCTATAGAAAATTTTCGAGAACATTTTCTCTTCTATAGAAAATTTTCGAGAACATTTTCTCTTCTATAGAAAATTTTCGAGAAAATTCTCTCTTCTATAGAAAATTTTCGAGAAAATTCTCTTTTCTATAGAAAATTTTCGAGAAAATTCTCTTTTCTATAGAAAATTTTCGAGAAAATTCTCTTTTCTTTAGAAAATTTTCGAGAAAATTCTCTTTTCTTTAGAAAATTTTCGAAAAAATTCTCTTTTCTTTAGAAAATTCTCTTTTCTACAGAAAATTTTCGAGAAATTTCTTTTCTACAGAAAATTTTCGAGAAATTTCTTTTTTCGATAGAAAATTTTCGAGAAAATTCTCTTTTCGATAGAAAATTTTAGAGAAAATTCTCTTTTCGTTAGAAAATTTTAGAGAAAATTCTCTTTTCTATAGAAAATTTTAGAGAAAATTCTCTTTTCTATAGAAAATTTTCGAAAAATTCTCTCTTCTATAGAAAATTTTCGAGAAAATTCTCTTTTTATATAAACATTTTTCGAGAAAATTCTCTTTTCTATAGAAAACTTTCGAGAAAACTCTCTTTTCTATAGAAAATTTTCGAGAAAATTTACTTTTCTATAGAAATTTTCGACAAAGTTCACTTTTCTATAGAAAGTTTCCAGAAAATATTTTTTTCTATAGAAAATTTTCGACAAAATTCTCTTTTCTATAAAACATTTTCGACAAAATTCTTTTTTCTATAAAAAAAAATCGACAAAACTCTCCTTTATATAGAAGATTTCTGAAAAAACTCTCTTTTTAAAGAAAATTTTCGAGAAAATTCTCTTTCTATAAGAACTTTTCTAGTATATAATTCCACTTACCCTAAAGCATCCAACATAGCATCTTTGGCGGCCTCAATCAAAGGATATGGTTTGCCTGTACAGATGCCACGAAAATCATCGTTATCAATAGCCCAAAACATAATACCGCCCAAACCATTATCGACCACATATTGAGCCTTTTTGCGAACAATAGCTTCATCATCATAACCCACCCATTGATTGCGACGATAGGCATAAGGGCCCATAGCATTGGGATTGGGTTGAACAACAGTCCATTCAGGATCTTCTTTAATATTCTGACAAATTTCATAGTAAGCCAGGTAGCCCTTTTCACGAGTAGCATCACCTTGTTCACCAGGAGCCTCAGCAGGAGCACCAATTTCTGTGCTTTCCTCATTGATCAAGGTATAGGAACGACCGTAGGTGGGTATACCCAAGACCAGCTTATCACGATCAGCACCAGCATTCAAATAGAATTTAATGGAATAATCCTGAGAACAAAAAATAAATTAATTAATTTTCAAAATATTTAATAAATCATTTAAAAAAAAACCTACAATATTTAATTCAGCATCATAATTATATTCAGATTCTTCTTCCAACGAATACAAAGGAGCATGATGATTGACGGAGGGTTCATGGGATGAATGAAAATCGTAGGTGAGTAAATTAAACCAATCCAAATATTTATTCAACTTTGGTATATCATAACCCTTTTCAATGTATTCAATGCCTGCTGGCACAGCCATGGTAAGCAATAGACGTGGACGTCCGGTTTTCTCTGACTCTCTTTCGAATTCAGCCCTCAACTCTTGCACAAATTGAGCGTAATTGTCTCTGTCACGTGGTTTGCCACCCTCACGATGAGCCGGATATTCCCAATCCAAATCAATACCATCGAAATGATTTTGTCTCAAAAACTTTAGAATATTCTTAATGAACTTTTGTCGGCGTTCAGGATTTGCTACCAAGGGGGAGAAACGTGAGGAAGCCTCATTCCAGCCGCCAATAGCAATCATCGTTTTCAATTGCTTATTGTATGTTTTGAGGCCAGTAAATTTGGCATAACCACCTATAAGCAACAAAAAAAGCAGAAATGAAAAGTTAGTTGTATAAACCAAATACAAAAGTGGGATTAGGATTCATCATGTTCTGGGGCTGTTAACAACAGTAGTTGCAGTAGTAGCAGCTTTTTGCCAATTGCAAGAGTGTGCAAAATTTTTCAGTTTATAAAAGCTTAAAGGCATAAATCATTATATGAATTTTTGTTCTTTTGATATTGGCATGGCCCACAACAAAAAAAAAGAACTTTATTTGTACTCTGCCTCCTGCTAAGTCCTTGCACAAGCACACATTCACATACACACTCACACACATCTACATACCTTGTTCAATATCCTGATATTTATCAAACGGTTTCATTTGATTGTCTTTCGTAAACCCTCCAAATGCGTAAATCAAATGTGTACACAAATATGGATTTATATTTTGTGGATTAAATTTCGCTGTGCCTGGACGATAGACACTCCAGTTGGTGTAGTAACATACAACTCTTCCATCAGCACGGACCCCTGTGAATATGAAAATTAAAGTTATATTTTGTTGTTGTTAATAAATATGAATAATTTTCCAGTTTTTTGTTTACATATATTGAGATTCTCAAACAAAGTTGTCTATAAATTATGGGATATTTACCATTTATGTAGAGTGCCGCACAAAATAGAAAGAGTAGCTGCCATACCGCTCCTCGAGGAAGCTGGAAAAAATAATAAAAATGCAAAAAAAGGATTAAATATTAATAAAAGGGTATTAAAACGCTGTCAGTTAAATAAAAAGTGAAATGCAAAAATAAGCATAAAAACTGTAAATACCTAGTAAATAGAAAAGGCATTTAACCCTTGGAAGCAAAAATTTAATAATAAATATATTTTTAATCAAAATTAATCTCCTTTTTATAGAAAAAGTTTAAGTTTACAAAGTTAGTTATAGACTGGATTTTACAATAGACTAAGACTGGGCTGTAAACTGAACTATAGTTTGGACTATAAACTTCAAAAAAGTTTGGACTACAGACTAGGCTATAGTCTGGATTGTAAACTAACACCATAATCTGGACTGTAGACTACACTATAGTCTGGACTATTGACTACACTATAGTCTGGACTATACACTACAATATAGTCTGGAATATATACTACACTATATTCTAGACAATAGACAACAATATAGTATGGACTGCAGACTACAATATAGTATGGACTACAGACTACACTATAGTTTGGACTAGAGACTTCAGTATATTCTGGACTATAGTCTTCACTAAAGTCTGGTTTACAGACTACACTATACTCTGGACTACATACTACACTATTGTCTGGCTTACAGTCTTCATTATATTCTGGACTAGAGACTTTACTATAGTCTGGACTAGAGACTTCACTATAGTCTGGACTACAGACTACACTATAGTCTGGAATATAGACTACACTATAGTTTGGACTATAGACTACACTATAGTTTGGACTATAGACTACACTATAGTATGGACTATAGACTACTCTATAGTATGGACTATAGACAACTCTATAGTTTGGACTATAGACTACTCTGTAGTTTTGACTATAGACTACTCTATAGTTTGGACTATAGACAACAATATAGTCTGGACTATAGAGTACACTGTAGTCTATAATATATAGTAGACTATAGTCTAAACTATAGAATAGATTGTAGTCTGAACAATAGAGTAGACCATAGTCTGGACTATAGACTCAATTATAGACTAGACTATAGTCTGGACTATAGACTAGACTATAGTCTGGACTATAGACTGGACTATAGTCTGAACTATAGACTGGACTATAGTTTGGACTATAATCTGGACTATAGTCTGGACTATAATCTGGACTATAGTCTGGACTATAATCTGGACTATAGTCTGGACTCTGGCCTATAGTCTGGACTATAATCTGGACTATAGTCTGGACTATAATCTGGACAATAGTCTGGACTATAATCTGGACTTTAGTCTGGACTATAATCTGGACTATAGTCTGGACTATAGTCTGGACTATAGTCTGGACTATAATCTAGACTATAATCTGGACTACAGTCTGGACTATAGTCTGGACTATAGTCTGGACTATAGTCTGGATTATTGTCTGGACTATAGTCTGGACTATAGTCTGGACTATAGTCTGGACTATAGTCTGGACTATAGTCTGGACTATAGTCTGGACTATAGTCTGGACAATAGTCTGGACTATAGTCTGGACTATAGTCTGGACTATAGTCTGGACTATTGTCTGGATTATAGTCTGGACTATTGTCTGGACTATAGTCTGGACTATTGTCTGGACTATAGTCTGTACTATTGTCTGGACTATAGTCTGTACTATTGTCTGGACTATAGAATAGACTATAGTCTGGACTATAGAATAGACTATAGTCTGGACTATAGAATAGACTATAGTCTGGACTATAGAATAGACTATAGTCTGGACTATAGAATAGACTGGACTATAGAATAGACTATAGTCTGCACTATAGAGTAGACTGGACTATAGAATAGACTATAGTCTGGACTATAGAGTAGACTATAGTCTGGACTATAGAATAGACTATAGTCTGGACTGTAGAATAGACTATAGTTTGGACTATAGAATTGACTATAGTGTGGACTATAGAATATACTATAGTATGGACTATAGAATAGACTATTGTCTGGACTGTAGAATAGACTAAAGTCTGGACTGTAGAATAGACTATAGTCTGGACTGTAGAATAGACTATAGTCTGGACTATAGAATTGACTATAGAATATACTATAGTATGGACTATAGAATAGACTGGACTATAGAATAGACTATAGTCTGGACTATAGAATAGACTATAGTCTGGACTATAGAATAGACTATAGTATGGACTATAGTATGGACTATAGAATAGACTATAGTCTGGCCTATAGAATAGACTACAGTCTGGACTATAGAAAAGACTGGACTATAGAATAGACTGGACTATAGAATAGACTATAGTCTGACTATAGAATAGACTATAGTCTGGACTATAGAATAGACTATAGTCTGGACTATAGAATAGACTATAGTCTGGACTATAGAATAGACTATATTCTGGACTATAGAATAGACTATATTCTGGACTATAGAATAGACTATAGTCTGGACTATAGAATAGACTATAGTCTGGACTATAGAATAGACTATAGTCTGGACTATAGAATAGACTATAGTCTGGACTATAGAATAGACTATAGTCTGGACTATAGAATAGACTATAGTCTGGACTATAGAATAGACTATAGTCTGGACTATAGAATAGACTATAGTCTGGACTATAGAATAGACTATAGTCTGGACTATAGAATAGACTATAGTCTGGACTATAGAATAGACTATAGTCTGGACTATAGAATAGACTATAGTCTGGACTATAGAATAGACTATAGTCTGGACTATAGAATAGACTATAGTCTGGACTATAGAATAGACTATAGTCTGGACTATAGAATAGACTATAGTCTGGACTTTAGAATAGACTATAGAATATACTATAGTATGTACTGGACTATAGACTAGACTATAGTCTGGACTATAGACTGGACTATAGTCTGAACTATAGACTGGACTATAGTTTGGACTATAATCTGGACTATAGTCTGGACTATAATCTGGACTATAGTCTGGACTATAATCTGGACTATAGTCTGGACTCTGGCCTATAGTCTGGACGATAATCTGGACTATAGTTTGCACTATTGTCTGAACTATAGGCTGGACTATAGTCTGGAATATAGTCTAGACTACAGTGTGTACTATAGTCTTGACTACAGTTAAAACTTTTATTATTCTTTTTAAAACAAATTCTCAACTAATAATTTTCTTTTATTACATAACCCTCACATTTAACCCTTTTTTGCTGAAATTAAACATAATTGTTAATAAATTCATAATTTTTTTTCACAAATATTTATGTAAATTCATACAATTAAGTTGATTTTCCTTTTGATGTTTACTTAACAAGGCAATTATTTTAAAAGAGTATAATTCTTAGAAAAAAGAAACTTCTTTACTGAAGCTTTTATTAAACTAATTATATAGTAGCAGAAACATATTCTGAAATTCGAAGTTTTAAACAAAGAAGAAAACGCTAATAAATTAAATATAAAAATTGTATTTAATTAAATGTATGATTTGGAAAAAAATATTAACAATTATGCAAAAATTAAAAAAAAAAAATGTTAATATCAAATGTTAATATCAGTGGTGGGGGCTTAACATTTATTATGTTAATTATGAGTTTTTTTGTTATTGAATAATTTTTAAATGTTAGTGGTTTCTCTGGAATATCTAACTAATCATGTGGTTGATTTGTTAAATATGTGAAAAAAGAGATAAAATATTTTTTCTATATTTTTGTAATTTAAAAACATATTCATTACTGGCTTAAAACACGCGGTCAAATTTTAAAAAATAAATACATTTTAAATCTATAAATTTTACTAATTAAACTGATTAAATGTGATAAAATAATAAATAACATGTAAGATTCCACGTGAATGCATTTTAAAATTTTGTTATTTAGACAAGAGTTTAATTAAAGTGCTTGTTAAAAATAAAATAGAAAAAATATAAAAATTTACAGTAGAATTTTGACAGCTTTAAAAAGCTATTATTCTAGTTCTATTTGATAATTTATTTCAAAAAAATATATTGACACTTTTTCGTGCAAATTTAATTTGCAACAATACATTTGTGAAAAGAATAAAGATCCGCCTGAACTAAGCACCTGTTTTAAAATAACTGTCACTTTTGTACTTTGACAAATGGCTCCTTTAATCCGGATTTACTTCAGCATTTTAATTCAAAATTTAAACTATAAATTTAAATTCCCGGTTTTCTAATTATAAACACACACACGTACAAATATATTTGACAATGTTATGTCATAAATATTTGAACACGCTTTATTAACTGTTATTACAGTGTTATTATTTACTACAGTTGTTGTTGTTTTTTTATAAAATTTTTTCTTATTTTTTTACTCACTTTAGTCATGTCTTTTCTGCCATCTCTAGCTGCTAGTGAACTTAAAGTAAACATTAGACAGACACACATTTGTGTGGAAGGAAAACACATCTAAACGAATGCTTTAATTATTACAAGAAATTCTTCAAAAAATCTTCTTCTTTTCGAAACATTGAGTTTTTATATAAATTTTTCATAAGAAAAAGAAAAATTTCTTTTTATAGAAAATTTTCGAGATATTTAGTTTTTTGAAGAAAATGTTTCTATGTTATTTAAGAGCTACTTAATGTTAAAGTTTTTCTCTCTGTGTATATTTGAAATTGTAAACAATAATTGAATTGTATGAGCAAAATAAACAAAACTTCAGAGTACAGAGTCAATACATGTATTTGCACGTGTCGTTGGTAAATAAATACAAATAATTACAAAACAGGTGTTTAATTATACTCTGACTTCTTGAAAAATGTATTAGAGATACTTAAAGTCTAGAGAAATATCTGATATATAATATGGACTATAGTATAATATACGGTCTAGACTTTTGGACAACATGTGGAATATAGGCTACTCCATAGTCTGGTCTGTAGACCACTATATATTCTGGATTATAGACCACTATACACACTGGATGGTGGGCTAATATATAGTATGGACTATAGACTACTCTATAGTATAGACTACTCTATAACATGGACTATAGACTAATCTA